CCCTCACAGGAGAGGAGAGTTCCTGTATGTTTCCCATGCCTTGGTAGACCCTTCTTTCACCAAAGTGCTTTAATGAAAAACTGTCCTGCCTTTGAAAGCTCTCTCTGTACAAGTGACGTTACCTCACTTGAGGCGTTGACCACTTTAAAGTCACTGGATTTAACGGCACTGCATCTAACTGTTCCCCTGTGTGCTCTGATCCCACGACTCCGTTGCTTTGAGTAAATGAATAGGGAGATTTAAGACAGAAATATGAAAAGCCTGTGCTGACGTGGATTTCTCTCTCTCTCATATTCAGAGGGAGGCACCGAGGTGCTTGCCACAAGCCAGAGATCTCAGAGCCTGTCTGGTGGCCACTGCAGCCTAGTGAGGGCAGGACCCGAGTAGACAAAAGCAGCTTGGGGAAATGCAAAACTTGGCATTTGTAGACAGTGAATGTTGCTCACCCAGATCCTGAAATTTTCTGACTGGTATGAAAAACAGTGATAATGTTTTCATTGGAAAACTGTCTTGGTTGACACAGGTATAAAGGTGCCCTTCTTTTCCGTGCCATTCCAAGATTCTGCAAACGGGGCTGAAATGAAAATGCAATTGTTTGTAAAATGGAGATGCATTTGTTTGTAAAATGGCAATGCATTTCTTTGTTCTTTATTAGGTCTTGATGTCCCAAAGACCTAGTGCACATCAAACACTCTTCAGATTCGTTTGGGCCCCTTTTTGCTGCCTTTCCATCAAAGGGTTTTCATCACTGTGCAATTACTTTGCAGTTTGGACAGGAGATGTTTTCAGCCCCAGGACCAAGTGGTGGAGGTTTCTGAGACAAGTTTTTTGTCTGTCTGTGGGCTTGTTCTAACGCTTGGAAGAAGCCCTGCCAGAGAGGCGAGTTGGCTCTGGGTCCGGCGTGTCGTGCTGTTTTCTGTGCTGTTCCTGACACTTTTAGTTACTGACTGTCAGGTTGAAGCTGCTTGATGTCAGTGCAGCCTGGTGAGTGGGGAAGGAGGGTCGTTCCCAGGAAACTATGATGTGGCCTTGGTAAAAACCTGCTCTTCTTCCTTGGCTGGTTGTTCCGTGGTTCTCCTAAGGTTACTCAGGATGTCGGAAAGACGGGAATTGCAGCGTGTTTTCTGCTGTGAAGGACTAAGTACTAGTGTGCATTGACGGGCTTAGTATATAGTGGGTTAACTGAGCTTGACTTGGACCTCGATTGTGTTGTTTTTTGCTATTAAACTCTGATGAGCAACTATTGCAAGCGCTTCATTTGGAGCTGCGTTTCTGTGATGGCCGCAGCAAGGAGAGCCACGGCACTGAGTGAGGTGCTGGAGGGAGTTGCTGGTGTCTGGTGCCTCCAATCTCATGGAGCACAAAGAACTAAAACCTGGATGCTACTTCCAGATCGACATCTGAATTCTTTTAAAGGAGGGAAAAACCTCGAGTTGTTAACTACAATTTGTTAATCTGTACATCTCCAAACCAGAAGTCTTCTTTTGGGTATCCCTCGTGCCTCTTAGAACTCTCTAGCTGGTGTTTTGTGGGCTTTTTCGAGGCTGCTGTTAACTGCGCTCTGGCTTTTCTCTCCCTTTGCTTTTCCTCTGTTTAGGAGGATGTTTTTATTTTGCTGCAGAAGCTTCCTTGGTGCTGCCGTCTCCAAGACACAGCCCGAGCGGTGCCGCTCCGAGTGCGACGAGCAGCATCCGGCACCTCTGCTTTCTGCTAAGGCACCTTGGAGAGGAGAAAACACCCGCCCGAAGCGCGGTCCTTCCCTGGAGCCGAAATGCCGGTGGCGGGAAGCGCAGCCAGCTTCATTCCTAGACATCTTGGAGTTTCACAACCAACACTACATGACGGATTTCAGAATGCTTGATTTTGTCCAAGACATTTTCTTCTTTCCCTTTTCAATATTTTTAACTTTTGATGGTAACTTTTAAGCTGACTTCCACTTATTATTAAGAATAGTGGTAAAAAAAAAAAAAAAAAAAAAACTAATCCCCTTGCCATGTTCGAAGGAGCAATGTGGGAAAAGGTAGACATAAAATTAAGTAGATCTTTGAAGGCTGTCCAGAAGACAAAGAAGAATTATGTTTCTTTGAGGACGTGGAAAATTATAGTTCAGTTGGAAACCTCAGGAAAACCAATTGGAAAGTGCTCTTTATCAGAAATGCTGACCAAATGTGAACCCCAGGTCAGGGAGAGCTCCGGAAATCGTGCCGTGGGATTAGCAGGAGAGCGGGCTGCGTGTGGAGCGTCGCTTGGGCCAAGCTTTGCTGGTGGCTTTGCTGGCGTCGTGCACGCCCGTAGGAATGTGTGCAGGATCTTGGGGTTGCAAAGTGTGCTGGCAACGCGTGCTGCAGCGTCTGGGAAGAGTCTGCCCAGCTTAATGCGAAGCAGAGAGATGCGATTTGGGAATGACTCATAAACTGGCAATTATGGAAGGAAGGAAAGTGGGTGGGGAAAATAAAAATTGATTTCTTAATCAGTGTATATTCTTGTCACCTTTTCTCAGACCTTCAGCCACCTCAAAGCTGGGAGCTTTTCATAAAGCTTTTTCCTTGACTACAGATGTAATTGGATTTTTGACAGTTGTTTTTTTCTTTAGTCACGGATTCAAGGTTGTCACATTCTGCAGTCCAGTTGGTGTGGAATCTCTTGAACTCCTGAGTGGCTGAATAACAAAAATCCATCTTTGTGTTTCCTTCTCTTGGATTTCGGCTTGGCATTGCCCATCGCTGCTGTGCCTCCTCCCTAGCAGTCTGGGCTGTCTCAGTTCTCCTGCAGTCTGCTCTCCTCTTCTGTGGTGTGTTGGGATGGCGGATCAGCCATTTGTTTAACTGTAATAAGAGAGAGCCAGAGGCTAGTCCTTTTCCAGCAGAGAATTTTAGTTTTTCCAGTGTGAATTTTATCTTGCTGGCAAAGTGGCACTTGACCTTGTCCCTTCCCTGAGCAGCCCTTGCTCTTATTGCACAGGGTAATTTGAAACCTGAAGCATCAACATTGGGGTTAGGAGACAATTTACAGCAAGAGGCTCAAGGAACTTAACTTTATTGTATTGAGGAGGAGAATTGTGATTTCTGCTGGATTTCTGCTGTTAGAGGAATTTGATTTGTAGCCGTGGGCACAAAACAAGCAGCCAAAGGCGTAATAAGGGCCACGGTGAAGGTCACTGCTGAGTAAATGTAGGTTTGGGGTGTTTGGAGGCTGGAATAACCTGTCAGGAGTTGTGATGGACATTGCATCCCTGGGACTTTAAAAATCAAAGAACTCGTTTTCTCCCAAAGTTTTGCCTTCCAGTTCAACCACAATTACTGACCCTGAAGTAGATATTTAATAGTGGACAGCTTCTAGTCTGTGTTGTTCCAGAGGCCAAGACCACTGGCATATGATGCTCTTTTAACACTTTATGCCTCCAATAAAACTAGATTTGTACTTTATGTTTCTATCCTTGTGATAGAGACCGAAGTAAAAAAGAAGAACTTAAGGACAAATAGAATTGGAACCAGGGCCCTGGCGCGCGGGTTTTGCCTCTGATGCTGCTTCTGGTGGTCACGGGCAAGTTGCTGCTCCACGTTTGCCCCAGTTTGCTGGTCTTGCCGATCTGGGAGAGCACCTGATGGGATGACGTGTTCCTAGCATGCTGTTAATGGTAATGTGTAATAATTACAAGCTTTTTACAGCTATTTGTTTATGACAAATAAGAGTATTTATATTCCAAGTAAATGCCCGTTTTCCAGACCTACTTCATTTAACTCCTGGGTGATGTTTTGACTCGTCAGAAGAGGATTTTTCTTGACTTGGGGCCACCGTTGTGGTGCTTCAGCCCGCCAAGTTCAGCGTTCTTCTGGATAGAATAAAACGTGTTTATGGATTTTGATGAAACTTGAAAATGCTTGGATTGCCAAACTCGCTGTGTTACGGGAAGATGAATAAAGCTCTGACTCAGTCGAAGATGTGGGACCCGGGGCAAGAAGGGAATGTTGCACATACCACAGTTTGGATTGAAAGGAGAGTATTACTTTGACTGGCCCTGGCATGTATTCTTGTTGAGTTGTTACACCAGAGCCTGGTATCGAGTGGTACTCACAGGGATGAGACGTGGTCTCCGTGCCCCTGCCCACAATTTCATCTTGTTACTGTTCCCCCCCACCAAACCAGAAGATTGTCCCCATTTCTCAGGCCAAAGCAGGTTGTCTGGGCAGCTTCCTAGTTTTCATACAGATTGCAATGTACATTTTATATAAAAACCCAACAAACCCAAACTGGGTGGTTCACTGTAGGTGTTAGTCCTCCCTAAATACGTTGATTAAATGTAGGGAAATAGCTCGGGGCTTGATGCTCTTAATTTTCTCCTGACATAGGCTCTGAAAATCTGGCATTTCTGCAATGCAGGTTGAATGTTCTTAGACGTTACCTAAGGCAGCTCTTACAAGAAGTCCCTTGTTTGCATCTTCTCCGGGCTCCAACACCTACATAAGCACGTGCGCAACCTGCTGCTCAGCAGCTTAGTGTTTCTGCAGAGGTGTTTGAGGGTGCAAAACTTCTATTTCTTTCCCTGTTTGCAAAGAATTACAGTGAAAAATCCAGGCACTTTCCAATGAAAGTTTAATCTTTGATGTCCGTTTGCCATTATAGAGGGTTTAACCCTGTGGTGCACTTGCATGATGTTTAAAAATCCTATTTTCCTTGGTAAAGGAAGGTGGTGTGTGCATCCCCTGTGGCCCATGCGTGTCCTGCTTTGTAGGTGGGTGTTCCCAGACGTGCTGCTTCCTTGCAGAGCTGGACAGCCCAGCCCAGATACTATTTATTTTTTTATTTTATTTTTCCTGATTGCCCAAGATTTAATGTTTCCTAGGAGTTTTGTAGCCTTCAGTTCTGCAAATACCATAATTTGGTGTCACTGGTGGGTTTCCATGCTTTCCATAACTTTTTATTGCCTGTCTGCTCCTTTCGTCTTCTGTGTTTAACTGTTGTTTCTTCTTTTTTAATGTTTGTTCCCTTCATTTTCTAAGGATTGCAGATACAATCAATGGAAAATAATTGCCAAGATAGTCTTCAGTCTTCTGTTATCTCCAAATGAGAAGGTACTTTGCACTTGATATATCTATGCTCTTAATCACTCCCGTGGATAATAACATCTACCTAATTTCTGGCCTGCCCTTGGCTTTCTTTGCAAACTCACTGGGTACTCACAGATTGCTAACCTTTGTCCTGGTGGAAGAAATCAGCCTCCCCGTAGGAAGAACTCCAATTTTCCCAATCTGTTGTTCTGCTGTGGTGTGAAACCAGATCACTTTTTCACCAACCTTCTTAAATTTGGCCACCCGAACTCCGTCCATTCGTGCTCTGCTGTGCTCCCAGTGCTTTGCCAGCATTCCAGAGGTTTTGCATCCCTCTGCGACACAACGGCCTTACTTACCTTTTTGCTCAAGTGCAGAATCCAGAGCAGATTTTTCCCTCCAGTTCTGCATTTCTATGAGAAAAAAAAATACCACTTCTTTTTGGTAGAGGCACAATGTGTTAAATGTTTTACCCCTTTGTGTGCTTCAAAGAAGAAAGTCCCCTCACTGTCAACTCAACCAACTATTGATTTCTTCATGTATCCTTTTGCTTCCCTTATCAGTTATGCCTGGTTCCTAATAGCAAATTTTTGTTAGCTTCAGCTTTCCTCTTTATTCCGTTTGTCATGTTTGTGTTTTTTATAGCTTCCTTAACTTCCTTCTGAGCCAGGTTGCTTTTTAACTAGTGTGGCCTTTGCTTTCAGTTGTGGGATTGTGGCTTTTTGAGCATCTAGTTAAAATGTTCTTAAACAATTTTCAATTAGTCATCATATTTTTCTGATTACATTCTTTTTCCCAACTGATTTGGCTCGTAATTGTTTTCAGCTTGGTGGAACTGGCCCCTCTTCTAAATGTGCGTGTGTGTGTTTAGTATTGGTAGTGCTGATATATTTTATTCCTAGTTTAGATGCTTTTTCATTGCCTGTAGATGCATGATCGAGTCATGGCAACTTGTTTTTCAGCTCTCAAAGCGGGGCTGAAATGCGGCTGCCTGCTAAAGCTCATGTACGGGCTCCGTTTCCAGACCTGGAAGCAGAGCAGGGAATTCCGCTCTAAGGATTTGTCAGTGTTGGGCGGGAGGGGCCACGTTACTGGAATGATGAGGTCTCCATCTCTTCATCCTTGGGTGTCTTGATGACCTTGTCAATATGTGTCCCAAGGTAGTGCTCGTTGACTCAGAGGGACTTAAAAAAAGTGGTAGACGTTGCCTTGGCGTTGGCTCTGGAAGTGCTTTTGTCTGTGTCAGAGGTATGAGCGTGAGTGTGTAGCTGGGATGGGAATTAAGGAGTGTTGGTGCGGGTTTGTCCTCTGCAAAACTGGTGGCAGAAACAGGTGAAGGGGAAAGCCAAGAGAACCCCAATGCGATGTGTAGTGGGGGACACCAAAATTTCTGATAAACAAATGTGAAAATGGGCAAAAGCACCAGCTGCTCCTAGAGAGGTCAGCATGGCATAAGCCCAAGTCCAGAGTGACACCTCCGAGCAGGACCAGGTGTCACCTCCTGTGTCTCCTTCCACATCCCCCTCCTTGGGGACTTCCTGCACCAGGGACTGGCACTTTCGCAGGTGCCGCTGTCAGCGTTGGGTCAAGCCTGTTGACTGATGGGTTTATGGTTGGAGCTGCTGATCTCGAAGGTCTTTTCCAACCATAATGGTTCTGTGAGTGGAGCACGGAGACGTGTCAGGAGGCTGCAACGGGAGGGCACGGCCCTGGTTACCCGTTCGCTGACCTCCACTAGTGCCGAATGGGAACGATCAGAGCGGGGCAGGCAAACGATGAGCAGTTGGGCTCCATCTGCAGATGGTTAATTACCAGTTCACACAATATGTTGTTAGGGGTCATCTGTTTCCAGTTTCATCATAAACAGAAGTAAATGTTGAGAACATACTTTTCTACATCCAGTTTCACTTGTTGTGGATACTTGGAATAGTTTGCAACCCACATCTTTGGGTTTTCAAGGAGGGCTTTTGGCCAGAGAACCCTGTGACCATTTGAGATTCTTGTTTTTTTCTAAAAAAAATAAAAAAATAAAGTGCCCTGGAGGTTGCATTGTAGGGACTTTCCTTATGCAAAACATAAAAGTGCTGTTTTTTAAAATTATAACCATATTTTTCATTAAAATCAGTTGGAGTCCCAATAAACAATCAGCTCCGAAAAATTTCCAAATGTTTGCTGCAGTGCTGTTTCTATTTTTAATTAATTTTTAAAGTATTTTTCTTTAAAAAAAAAAGTACACAGCTTGGCTTATAATTTAAGAGATGATCTAGTAAATCAAAAAAAATGCCTATGCATATAGGTCTTTATTGCAAAATAATTAAAACCTACTGCGTATCTGAAAGGAAGACGACTTCTGTGGGAGCGGCCGCTGATTCCTGCCATTTGCCTTATCGTGGGAACTCCTTTTTTTGTCGCCGCCTGGCCCCGGAGACCCTTGGAGGAAATTTGACATTTGTTTTGTATAAATTGGGAGCGCTGCGGATGCGTACGGAGAGCGAGAGGGAGCTTTGGAAGTAACTGGGTTGTAGACAGCCGGGCACTCTTGCCAGCCTCTGAGCTGGGGCCTTGGGTATGGCCGTGTTGGCTCTTTATTTGCAATTTTAATCACAGAAACATTAAAAAAAATGAGAGAGAGAGAAAAAAACACTAGTGTTAACTCAAAATTTTATTGTAGAAAGAGCAGGATAGGGGTAAAAGCTGTGGGGATGGGAACACCATGTGTGAACATCCTCTCCCTGCCATAAAAGGAGAGGTTCAGAGTAGATATTAGGAAACATTTCTACATGGAAAGCATAGTCAAGCATTGGAACAGGCTGCCCAGGGAAGGTTAAATCCTGGGAGGCTGCTCAGACAGCAGCTCGGCTCACGGGTCTGTGGGTTTTTTCCTATCTGTGACTACTGAAGCTCTTCTCAAAGCTCCCAGCTAGTGGCGTCCACGCGTCCATGTGCGACGCAATTCTCATCGACCATCTCCCCCATAGCAAATTGCTCTCGTGCTCCTTGCTTCCTAGGGCAAGGAAGAAGGAGAAAGGGAGCTTGCAGAATAATTTCAGTGTTAGTCTAAGCCTGTCGAGCTTCTAATGAGCAACCCAAGACGTCGTGTGCTGGTAGGGTGAGTCTGCAAAGCCGTTTTGCTTTTCAACTCTTTCAGACCCATTCCTCTTAACAGGGCTTATTTGCAAGTGCTTTAAAGTGTCTTGGCTTTCTTTTGAAATGAGCCTGATTTGGGGAATGTGGTTTTCACTTAAAAGAGCCGGAATGTGGTAACGTGCCAGCTCTCCTGGGATGTGTGACGAGGGGCACCTTGGAACGGTGTGGAGGGCCCCACTTGTTGCTACACATGGATCACAGGGACTGAATTTTGGGCATCTGGGGTTCTTCCATTGCAGGGTCAGCACTATGGGCCAGAGCTGCTA